CCGCTGGCTCCAAATAAATACTAAARTGAAGCGCTCAAAAGCTTTGGGTGGAGGGAAGCTGCTTGGCACCCTCACTTTGTTATTTTTATGTACCACAAGGCTTGCACTATAAGCGTTTTAATGCAATATTTTTTTGATTACAACCAAAAGCAACAAACAAAAACAAAAATCGACAGCGCAGTGCAAGTATGCGCTTATCCTTTAGCTGCGTTTGGCTTGATTTACATTAAAATGAAATATTTGGAGACAAAGAGAACGATGGTGTTTAAGAACAGTCATATGTGTCCTAAAATTTTGTCGTTACCGCCAAAAAAAGCATAGGAAGTAAGCACGCTCGCCCACATGAGGCATCCTCTCAATGCATATAGCATCTTTTTGGCTGGTTTCGCATACTTGAGACTTGCATTCTTAAGATTTTAATGCAAAATTATTTGATTCTTTTATAGTTTCTACGTCGACTACTCTTTTAGTAAGCCCTTCTTTKAAGTTGTTACACAAATATCGCAAGTTTCAATTCTTGTGAAACTTTCAGTKGAAAAAATTTTCCAATAAGGTTTTTGAAGGTTAAAGCTTTTGAAATATGTTCTTTATTCCATTTATTGTTTCAATACAAAGTGAATAATTCAGCAAGGTGCTGCATTTTGTTATGAAAACCACAACATGAGCATAAAAAGTTAAGCTTTTAAGCCACAATACAAAGCTTCTAGCACGACATAAACCCCAACTATACAATTTTTTTTAATGAAAAAAATAATAAAAATATCATAATATGAATTTTGATGACCAAGCTTTCATTCAAAAATTTTTACACCGGCATAAATTTTATAAAATTTTTTTTTGAAAAAGTTAAAAACGAAAAATGCCATAGCATTCACATATGAACTTGCTGATCGATATTTCAWTCCAAACTTAGAATCAGTCATTAGAGCTTTCAGTCATTTTATAAACTTTTATATTAATGCATAGAATGCTATGCTGTAAAGTATTAACTGAGTATTACCTTCATTATAATTTTATACAGTGAGCTTTTATAAAGCTTTAATTGTGTTTTTTATTTCAATAAGGCCTATTTGCCAAAATTAGAGCTTTCGAAAGCGAGATAATTTTGTGTAAAATAAAAAGCTTTCATAATATAATGTAAAGCTTTCATAAATTAATTTAAGSTTTCATAATTTAATTTAAGTTTTCGTTTATTTGAAGAAATTTCAGATTAATCAGCGGAAAGGTATGGTTTAAAATGTTTACTGAGATTTGGTTTAGTTTCAAATTTTTAGCATGTGCTTCTAAAAAGCTTTAATGATGTTTTCCCATTCCATGAAGCTCAGAAGTTCATATAATTGAATATCTTAAAACAAATCTGCATACAATTTATGAGTCARCTTATTTGAGTCAGAATACTTGCCTTACTTATTCACCGCTTTCACCAAGCATTATATACGAGACTCGCGGCACTGCTTGTCATACCCGTTTCCCCGCTTCCACAGCTTAACCGTATACCCATATGTGTGCTATACCTTTTGCTCGTTCGTTGTCATCATAAGCCGCTTATACAAATAGTAGCATTTTTGCGCATTTTAACTGAATTATTCACGCATTCGCCTAAAGACCCTAGACCAAAACAACAACAACAGAACCAGTGCAYATGACACATACGTCTCGTAGTGGCAAAGACTTTGCGCCCTGACTAAGTGCAAAAAAGGCAGCAAAGCGGCTACATTCATATATACTAATAAAAATATGTGTGTCTGTATATAGATATATATACATGWATGTGTGCGTGTGTGTTTGCGTCTGCAGAGCACGTCTAAATAAGTTAGAATTTTGCACGTGATTCGCGTTGCATTCGCCTGCGTGTGTATGCGTGCAAATTCTTCACTTTTCTTACTAGCCTTCTGGCTTTGCGCCCTTCGCATGCGTGTGCTCTTTGCCACTTGGCCAACTTGCCAGCTCAACAGACATTGCGTGAGAATGTGGAAAATGCGTTCACACTTTGCGCTTTTTGGCGMCGGCCACGCGGCACGTGTTCATCTYTAAGGGTGGAAAATTTAAAGCTTAACRTGTACATATGTAGCGTATAGAGTATAAGCAGCGGGATGAGGTTGTGCGTGTGCGTGCCGGTAAGTCGCATTTCRCACGCACGGTTGCATTTGGCACCTACGCTACAAGCTGCATTGATAGTGTTTCTMTAATCAGCTACATTGTTTTTGCTGCTTTTTCTAACACCTACCTTGGTGTGGAGGAGAGCAAATTTAATGCTGACAAATATTTAACTTTGTGAAAAAGCCGACCTTTTCTTTGACATATGACCACAGCACAGCTTTTCTAAGTAATTATACAGGGATATAAATTAAGGTGGGTAATAAAACAAATATTTTTTGTTGCTTAGTGCTCTGAAAATTTTTTCTTAAACAACTCTACGAAAATCCCTCCAAGAATGAGGAGGTATTGTAAGGGAAGTGTCCTCCGCCTTTCAGTTTTATATATATTTTTTTTTTTGTATTATCAGTCAAATATCTAAAGAATATTTCGATCAATGGGTTTTTTAGGAAATTGAGTACTCTAGAAAATGGTCCTAATATTTAATCAAATTTCATTTAT